AGACCCCAAATCCTTCAGGCTACCACTTTCCCAAGGAAATGTCCCCTGGAGATGTTTCTGTGCCATTGATTGCATTCCACAAACATTTTTCAGCACCCCAAGCTACCAGTTTCTTAAGCTTTTAAGCTCTGCTAAGAAGCAGCAGAGTTGATCTTTAGCTACAGTGGTCAATCTTGACAGTCCTTTGATGCCTTAGAAGCCTCAATCAGACATATTGGGTGTTATCCAGGCTTATGGGAGGGAAGGGCTAGAAGGGAAAAAAAATCTGAACATTCTGAAACCAGATGGAGATAAAAATTCTTTTCTCACCAGGCTTTGGTAAGAGGTAAGGTAATGTTGTAAGCTACCTAGAATTGTGTCCAGGACACAGTAGGCACTCAATAAAACCAAGTGTGATTCTCTAACTCAATGCTGACACAATTGTTTCTCTTTATTACATTGGTCAGTTTTTCGGCTGAAGTCGTTACCTGGCAGGGTTGATATTCAGCCAGGCTGTTTGGTGCTGGGTCCCACGCAAGTACCCATCACAGGAACCCACAGACACAACTAAGAAGTAATCACCATTGGGCCTGTTTAGAAGCCACCTGAAGAGCCAGGCTACGGCAAATCAGTTGACGTTGTTGGTTGTGAGTGACCAGAACTAGCTCTGATTTACTTAGGCAGAACAGGAATGTATCAGAAGGATATCAGGAAGTTCACAGAATCAGTGGGAAGACTGGAGACCTAGACTTGGGAAGTGAACAGTAACTGTCAGCGGCTGGAAAATGAAAATACCTTTGGCCGTGCTACCATACCAGCCTAGTAGGTCATTGCCTGAGTGGCTGCCATTATCACGGCACACATGGCAGTGACTTCCCTCTCTGCCTCTCCTAGTTAATGCCATTATGCTGAGCTCACTGCTGCTGTGAAGAAGTCTCCAAACTGCCCAATCCTCTGCTCATCCCTTGAGGCTGAGACCCAGGTAAGGGGCATCCATTGGTGGGGAGCAGAGAGGAGGAGGATGTGGCCTCTTCCACTTCAGTAATTGGAAGCAGGCCCTGCTTCCCAACAAGGAAGGAGATTCAGCTGTTAGGCAACCAAGTAAGTAGGAAAAAGTTAAATGTCCACCATGCAACAGTGTACTGTAGCACTGAAGGTTAAAGGTATTACTACACTTGCCTCCAACTATCTTTGGGCCATTCTAAAATACCAAAGGCATCCCCTAAGAATGTTTGCCTGCTTCTGAGGCTATTTCAAAAACTACACTTGAAAGCAAGACTCTAATATAAGTTTCTAAAACGGTTTTGGACCACTGTAGTGGTATTTCAATGGAAGTACACCATTGGCAATAGTATTTGCTAAATAAGGTGAAGAATATGTCTGGCTACAATTATAAAAATCCCCAATATTACTGGCTTAAACGAATAGGGATTTTATTTTTCTAATACAATAAAAGTTTTGGAGAAGGAGGATTGTTGGTGATGACTCAGTGTCCCAACAATATCAGGATTAAGTCTCTTTCTTCTGTTTTCTAGGATTTTCCCTCATGGTCACAAGATGGCTACAACTCTAGATATTATGTCCAAGCTCATGTAAGGAAGGAGGGAAAAGGCAAGGGTCCGACCATCAGCATCATCCCCTTTGATCATGAAAATAGAGTGTTTCTCAACACTCAATTCCTGCTTTGCCACCCCTGTTCTTCTACTTGTTCCTCATTTGCCAAAAGAGTTTGCATGGCCACCTAGCTACAGGATGCAAGGGTAGTTGGGAAAGATGAAAACAGGATTGTCATGATTGGCCTTTGCCAATCGCAAACCACTGCCTGGGCCTGGCACATTACTACAGAGTTCAAATGATGAAGGTGGAGGAAGGTGGATATCGGATAACATATCTAAATTCTGGTATCAGATTTGGCCATTGCAGGATTGGAAGTTAGACACACAAGCATGGAGGACAAGGGCTTTCCAGAGAGAGGAGACAGAAGAAAAGCATAGGGCATGTGGGGATAACAAAGAAATTCAATTTGGCTGATGTGTAAGTAGCTGCACTTTTGGTAAATTATCCTAGAGAAGTAAAATCACTGATTGCAAGGATATGGACATAAGAAATTTTATTAGCAAAAAAACAAAAACAAAAACACCTGGTAACAACCTATGTGCCCATCAAAAGGGGAATGGTTGAATAAGTGTAGTATATACATCATATGAACCACTATGTAGCTGGCCGGCACGGTGGCTCACACCTGTAATCCCAACACTTTGGGAGGCTAAGACAGGTGGATCCCTTGAACTCAAGAGTTCAAGACCAGCTAGGGCAACACAGAAAAACCCTGTCTCTACAAAAAATACAAAAATTAGCCAGGGTGGTGGTGTGTGCCTATAGTCCCACCTATTTGAGGGGCTGACGGGGGAGGATTGCTTGAGTCTAGAAGGTCAAGGCTGCAGTGAGCCATGTATGTGCCACTGCACTCCACTCCACTCCTGGGCAACAAAGTAAGGCCCTGTCTAAAATACATACATACATACATTTGTTTTTAAATAAAAAGAAATTTGAAATACTATGTTGCTATAAAATGAATACATTCATTCCATATCTATAGACCCATTTATTATTAAGAAAGAACAAGTTGCTGAGACCCCTCAAATAATCCTTTTTGTATAAATAAGCAATAACACAATAGCTCCACATATATGAATGTAGTTTATTATCAGCATGGAGCATGGTGAAAGGGGTAGAACTTATACCCCAGGTCATTAACAATGGATTGCTTGGGAGACTGGGTGGGAAATGGAGAGGAGGTGTGGAAGATCACTAATGTTTATGAGTGTTTTGCTGGTTGAGGTGAACATGTGTTTCTTTCCTAATTTTGGAATGCATCTTAAAGCTTTACAAAAGCAGTTTGGAAGTGGGTTATGAAGAGTAGAGTGGTACATTGTGTGATAGGGAGCCACTGAAGATTTTTGAACAAGGAAATGATGTGGTCAGGAAAATTAACCCAGCAGGAGTATGTATAATGGATTAGAGACAGGAGAGGTAGAGGATGGGCAGAACAATTTGAAGGTTCTTGTAGCAGCAGTTCAGTCAGAAACGTAAGAACTGAACTGTGACAGCAATAATATATGAAAAAAGGAAGAGAAAAGGGGGTGGAGGCTAGAGCCTTGAGACATACATGCTCAATACTGGGAGATGGTTGCAGGGGGCATATTTTTCCATTAAATTGTGTCAACCAACACATCTTACATCTTGAAACCCTGAATAAACGGCTGTAATCCATACATATTTCTCTTCTCCAACCTCCTCCAGCATCCACTTACTTGACATTTACAATAAGGGCATTCAAAATAATTTATGTTTTCATGAGATTTGTGTTATCTCCCTCATTGAGAACATCTTGGAACACGAGACCATACAGAATACTTACTGGTGGCCCCCAAAAATGCAGTTTCATTCATTCATCATAGTTGGTGGTTTATATAAACGCTCTTTCTTCATTCATTTCTTGAAGGAACAGCCCTAGTTTCTGCCCCTGGGAGCTGACCATCCAGTGAAGGGGACAGACTCGCAACAGGAAATTCAGTTATAAGTGAGGGTAACGCAGGTGGGAGGACGCAGGGAACTGATGTGTGAGCTGAGACCTGAAGGAAGAGGAGGAGCAAACCAGATAAAGAGAAGGACAGGTCATTCCAGAGAGAAAGAGGAAAGCATAAGCAAAGCCCTTGACGTGGGGAGTAGCGTGGCACATTTGAGGAACTAAAAGGAAGCCATAGGTAGCAGGAGTTCAGGGTGAGGGAGAGCGGAGGCAGACAAAGGCAGAAAGGCAAGCTGGGGCAGAGCCAGCGTACACCTGCCAGCCAGGGGAGGCAGGCTCAACTTGTTCTCAAGAACAATGGAAACCCGGATGCTTTTAAGCAGAAGAGAAACATGATTGGATTTGCTTTTTTAAGAAAGAGCACGCTGGCTTTGGCTGAGACTACAGGGAAACAGCAAGGGGCGCTCAATGGTCCGGTTTTCCCACTAGGCTGGGAGCTGGCCAGGGACTGAGGTGACCCCATCCCATTTATATCGTTCTCCTCTGTGCAGAGCCCCCCCTACTCTGCACGGGCCTCAGCTGCAAATGGCTGTGGTTAACAGGCTGGTACTCCCCCATCAGAAAAATAAAAGTCCCCATCCCTCCAATATACCCCCAGAATAATGGGTTGGGATGCCCCAGATCTGAAGAAAAGAAGGGGTAAGGATAAGGATGGGATGTGGGTGAGGCAAGGCCGATTTCTTTTCTCTGTGCCTCAATTTCCTTATCTATGAAATGAATGGGGCGTTCATGGTACCTACCTCAGAGAGTCGCTGTGGGTGATGACATAGTTCATACAAAGTTTCTAAATGGCACCTGGCACAAAATGAACTATCAAAAAGGGTCAGTTTTTGTTTTTGGTCTTTCAGAAACAGGTGGGACCTTGTGATCACAGACTGGATCCCGACTGTCCAAGAGGACAGCTGGTCACATCCGCAGAGAGAGCGTGAGGACCCCTGGGTCAGGCAGGTGTCAGGGCTACCAAATGACTTATGTTTCAACAAATCCCACGCGCAAGTTTGGGCCTGGGATCCTAGTCTGTAGATATTCTGTTCTCACGACTTAAAAAGAGAGTACCCCCAGGTGAGGAAAAGGGAGCTGCCCTCTGCCCTCCCGCGAAATCCGGTTCCGCGCGAGGTCTCCGGGGGCGGCGGGGGGGTGGCGCCCGGCCTGGAAGGGCGGGCCCGCGCGGCGGAGGGGCGGGACCCGCGCGTCAGCCCGCAGCCCCACCCCCAGCGGAAGTGCCGCCGGGCCCGCCCCTCCCTCCCAAGGCCCGTTCCCCACGCCCCTCCCCCGGCTTGCTCTCCCGGGCGCAGTTCGGCTCCCGGAGCTGGTTCTGCTGGGGCCCCACCGTCGGTCCAGAGAGGAGGCCCTGGGTCAGCGAATCTGGCTGTGTCGGGCAGTGCTCTCTGTCCCTCCCACTCCCCAGCCCTCCCTTCCATTTCTCGGTTACCTGCGCGGCTGCCGGCGCCGCAGGGGACTGCACAGGTAAAGTCTCGGCAAGTGAGAGCGCAGGTGTGGGCGCCTCCTGGGCCAGGCGGGCAGGGGAGAGGCCGACGGCACGTGTCTGGCTTTAAGAAGATTTTTGTTTTTTACAGCGATTGTGTTGACAGTGGGGGCTTGGGAAGGGCAGACGCGGACCCTGGGAGCGCTGCAGGGCACTGGGGAGAGAGAGGGGCGGGACTGTAGCTCCCGGCGCTTGGGGGCCAGGTCATTTATGGCCCGGAGGCTTGCGCAGGCTCTGTGGTGACTGGGAGGTGGTGCGCCGGCTGGGTGGGGGCGGGTCGGGGCCGCGGCGCCGGAGGATTGTCCCCCACCCAGTCCCCGCCGCGACTGGGTTTTGACAGCCTCCCCGACCGGGCGCGCACATTCTCAGGTTTGCAGAATGAAAATCAATAAAATCGATGCAGTGGCAAAGAACACGAAACATGTTGGGTTATTATTATTTGTGTTTGTTAAATTCCTTTTTTAAAAAAACTTTCTTCTTAGAAAAGGTGGTTTCAGCTGGGATAACAGCTTCAGAGAGGGAGGAAAAATGCCCCCTGGTCTCCCAGCAGGGGCCGGGGGCCTCTCTTCGGTCCCAAGCCGCGAAAAACATCCCGGAGCGGCCGTGCGGGGTCCGGCGTCGGGACAGAAGCCCCAGGACACGTTCGGTTTCCGGATACGGCTGTTCCCCGCACCTAACCCTCTGCCCTTTAGGGAGATGGCCCCCCTCCACCGACATTTCCCCGGTTCACCACCCCCACGCCCCGGGAACCGCGCCTTCTCCCCTCCCCCGCGCTCTCCCTGGCGCTTTAAATAATGATATTTGCATGCAGGGAGCGATTCATAAATATGTCAGGGCCGGTGAAATATAGGCAACATTTCAAACTTTCTATTTAAAAAACATGAATTATGGCCGCGGAAAATGTGTTCCCATTTAAAGGCGATACGAAGTATTTGGTGTCTCGTCCCCGGGCCCATCCATCACGCAGACAATAAAGAGAGTTTTTCGCCCTGACACCCGCGATTTATGGGCGCCCTTCTCTGCCCTCATCACTCACCCGCCGCGGCCAGCCGGGCGACAGGCCCCGCGGAGAGACGCGCGGCCGCCCCCGCGCGGGCTAGCGCGCGCACTTTGCACCCTCGCCGGCCCGCAAGATCGCGGCTACCAGAGGGAAGCACCGGCTCCCAGGGGTTGGGGGGATCAGCCTTGAGGGTCTGAGCAGCCGAGTGGGATCGGAAACCACACTGGTCCTCCCGCCCCGGGCAGCCTCTCAGGGCTGGGGCCGAGTGCGCCGCGGCGGGGTTTTGCTAGCCCTAGCTGCGTCCTGGCCTTGCAGGCGCTGCGCTGGGAAGTTTGCAGGGCAGGCGGCGGGAAGTTATTTAAGCACTGGCTAGAAGTGAGGACAGAGAACTGGGCAGGGGGTTACCCAGGCTAATTCTTGGCCACCGCTTCAAGGAACGTGGAGCTGGCCCCAAGCTTTCTTGAGCCCCGCCGGGCGGACGCTTCTGGGCAAATCTTCCTGCTTCTTTTACAAAGCTGCCTCCTCCCCAGTTTGATCTCTGCAAACATATCCTGGGCGTCCGCCGCAGCTCGGAAACTATTTTTACCATCTGGGGCAGAGAAATTGCATTGAAATAAGGAAGGTGGCACGTTCTCTTGCGTTTCGCCCCGGGCCAGGCTGGGTCACCCAGTGTCCTCTTTGCCCCTCACCCCACCCTGCAGGTCCCTTCCTTAGCCGCTAAAGAATCTCTGTTGCTAACTTGCAGAGCCCGGGGGTTCTCCGAGATACAGGCGCAGGAGAGAGCCTTCGTCGAAGTTTGGGCTACCCCTGTAGGAGTATTTGCTTTCAGTTTTCACCGCGGGCGAACCTGGCGGGGCGGGTTTCCGAAGTACCAGCAGAGGTGGGGGCTGCCAGGCACTGCCAAGCAGCTTGAGGCCGCTCAACCTGGGGGCGCCGCTTGTCCAGCCTCCTTTGGAGGCCGGACTCTCAGCTGCCCGGGCACTAGGAGCCACCTCGAGTCCCGCGTAGGGCCGAGGTGTCGGCGTACACACAAGCCGGAGCCATTTCCTGCAGGATGCCTGCGAGCTGGATGTATTCGGATAAATGCAGCGCAAACGACAGCCAGAGAAATCCCGTCGATTCTAAAAATGACAAGGTTGAATTTATTAGATTAAGATTCACGTGTAAGTGCAGGGAGATGAAAATTATACAAACAGCTCCACGTCCAGTGTGAACACCACTGATCGCTTCCAGCTTCCAGGGCATATAATTAACACATCTGAATATTTAGATCTAGAGAGGAATATAAAAATACTCTTAAATTCTCCGTGTATGCACATATATTTCAGAAAAATTCTAGAGCAAGTGTCCTTTTACAGTCCCTGCTTGGGCGTCATCTGGGCTGGAGATAGAACTTATGTCCAAATAACCATCCAGAGAATATTATCTATAAACAGAGTGAGTCCTGCATCGCTGAGGGGTACAGTATCTACAGATCTTTAAGTATCTGCAGCACGGCAGAGGTGAAATAAATATATTTAAGAAAGGCAGGCTTGAAGATAACCGAGCCACTCTGTCCAAACAATATTTCTGGGCATAGAAATAAATTTCCTACAAGGCCGGTGGTGGAGAGTGCGGACAAATGGAGAGGCTTTCGGAAACCCTCCGTGGGGGCCACGGGTCCTGCACCCCAAGTGCCATGCAAGTTGAAGTGGGCTCTATTGGATGACCTCGGCGTGACTGCTGCGAGAGGCTCGGCCCGGCCCGACGCCCAATACTGCAGTGCCCTGGGGGCTCTGCTAGATACAGGCGCGGAGAGCCTTCGAGGGGCACAGGCATATCAGGTGGCAGGCCTGGGCTCCCGCGGGCAGCCCTCTCCTCTCAGACACTTCAGCCACACCTCAATCCCGGTTCCACCTGGCTCCGGCAGTGGCCGTTTGGGTCTACAGATGGAAGAAGAGTGCAAAAAAGGGCAAGTCCGGCTCGATTCTGAGGAATCCCAAAGCAGGAAGCTGGAGGCCACCGGGAAGAAGGCCACAATTTTTGCGCCTTCTAGAAGCCAGGCCCCACCCGAACTCTTGGGGTGCTAACTTGAGGCCACAGAGGCAGTTATCTGGGTGTATTTACTTATAAAATATCAGACACCCCCCCCCCCCGCATAGTCACTACTGAGGCCCGGATGTCCTGTGAGTCTTCTCTACATATTTGCCAAGCCCAGGCAACGCCAACAGCGAGGTCGGCAACGTTGCATCTCTGAAACTCCAAGGCCAAATACTAATTCCATAATAAGACAACTGTCTACCAGTCTCTCTCCCTCTTTTTCCTCTTCACCCCTCCAAACCCACCCAACCCTTAAACAGGCGCAGCGCTCCTCAGAGCCCCTACTTGGAAAGAGATTAGAGTGGACTTTGCCATGAGTTTCTGGGAACTGCACACTCCTGAGGCAACCCTGTCACCGGAGAAATAACCCGGGCCCCAAGAACGTCCTACTCCAGGCAGTGTGGCTGCGCACGAATGGTTTATACGGCACACGGAGATGAGGGAGCAGAATGGGAAATACTCCCTGGCAAATAAGGAAAGGGAAAAGGAAAATGAAGTGAAGGAGAGAAATGGGGGAGCCCAGAAAGACGCCGGAGAGGAAACAAAAAGGAGAAGGGAGAAAGAAAAAAGAAATGAGAGCCAGGAGAGGCGCGCCGGAGGAGAGCGCAGCCCAAGGCCAGACGCGAGGACCAGACGGGGACACGGCTCCCACACTCCAGTCGCCTCCCCAGCCCCTAGCAGCGGCAAGGGCCGTGCGGGTCTGTCCCCTATTGGCCCCGCGATTCTAGGCCTCGATTCTAGACCATTCAGACAGTCGGGTGGGCGGACCTGGGTGCAGAGGTCTCTGCACACGCTTTCTCTCCCCCCCTCCCAGGGACCGCGAGGCAGGGCCGGACTCGGATAGGAAAGCCCCCGGGGGCGCTCCCCAGTCCTGGACTGTTTGGGCGCTCTGGGCCAGGCTTTCCAGCTCGCCAGGCCTGACCTGTCAGGCGGATTATCTTCGAGGGAGATTAATAGGGGAGGCGGGCTGCAATAATAATCGTTTTGTTTGATGTGACAACTCTGATAGGCGTTGATTTACTTACAAACTGATAGGCTTTTAATTGAGCGCCTCCGCCAAGCCCGAGATGAAAGGGAAGCGGCGGTGAAAGGCGGCCCGCCTGCCCTCCGGCCTCAATACTGATTAGCCATCTCGACAGTGAATAGTTCAAGGCATTTTCAAACTTTTTCCTCAGCTCTCTCCCCTTCCTTCTCCTCCCACCCCCCTCCTCCAATATCTGCCATGTCCACTCCTTTTTTAGAGAAAACAAATCATTTCCATTGTGTGCAAATAAAATCCGCAGGACATCCACGCCAACCGCTGCTGGGGGTTGGAGACATTAGGCCTGGCGCAGAGTAATTAATGGCTCCCCACCCCCGGGCCCGCCCGGCCTTTGGAGTTTGGCCTCCAGCGCGAGGTGCGCAGGCTCGGACGCTGGCGCCTCCCAAAAGCCCCGGGCGCACAGGCCCCCAGGCGCCCCCATGCGCTCGGACCCTCGGAGTGGAGTTTTGAGAAAAGCGAACGCACGCTGACCGCGACCCGCGCCCACGCAGCACAGCACAGCCCCACAAGTGTGTGCGGCCACACCAAGGGACGCAGGAGGCACTCACTCCAGGGCTCCCCCAGGATTCAGGTGCTGGGGCTGCCTTCCCTTAGCCGCGGGCGTAATAAGAAAGCCGCTGGAATTAGAGGAAAGGGGGCAGAGCTGCCTCTCGAGGCTGGGGAGGGACGCCCTTGGCTTCGTCGCCCGCAGCCCTGCCGCAGCCCCCAGAATTTCAGTGCCCGGGCCTCGCGGGGAGGCCGCAGCGATAGCGTTCCAAAGCTGGGCTCACGGCGTTGGGAGCACTGCCGTTGGTTGAGTCATCATCTAGAAGGCCGCGCACTCAGTGACCAGGCAGACACGAACACACGCGAAGGATAAGAGCGGCTTCACAGACACGCTGCCCCGCAGGGACAGCGTAGGAGTATCCCGCCCTCCGAAATGCACACCTGGGACTCGCTCCCGGGAGACCATTCAGACAACCTGTAAAGCGTGGGGCCTCGCCACCCGCTCGCGCACTCACCTTCCTCAGATGTCGCACAGACACTACACACTCCCTTGAATGCAGGTGTGCTCTTACACTGACAAACACCGGCCCCAAACACACACTACCTCACTCCCCTCTTCTCTCCAAATGAGCTTCAGTAAAGTTACCATCTTATAAAGTTTACTGGCCTACAAGAGCCAAGGGATAAAATCCAAACGCGGAAAAAGAATGCCTAGGAGGAAATTCTAAAACTCACCCCAGAAAGTTCTTGGCACCCGTGCGGAGTGAGAGACTGAGAAAGAAGCGGAGTAGGGGAGTGAGGTGGGGGAGGGGAGTGAGATGGGCCGAGGGGAGAGAGTGAGCACGCCGAGGGCAGGTTCCAGACCCGACCCCCGCGCGTACCCGTACCCGGCTCAGTCCCGGGTGCGCGCCGCTTGAAACCAGGTTTCCAGGCTCGGCCCCCGCCCCCCTCGCGGGCACAGACTGGCTCCCGGCTCCCAGAGCTCTCAGCCCCACGATTTATCAAAAGGATTTGACAACAAAGGAAGAGCCGGGGCGGAAAAGCGGAGGAGGGAGATTCAAAGTCCTGCTAGTGGTTCCGAGGAAGGGGCTGTGTCCTCCTCACCCACCCACCCCCTCTAATCTCTGAGAGTTTCTGGAGGGGACTCTCGAACCCGCTCTGGACGCTGTCAAAGCCCCGAGAACTCACGCAGCGCCACAGGCATGCATACACACTGGGCACCCAGGTCCAGGTACGCGGTGGCACGCACTTAGCGCCTTCCCTCTTCTTTCCAAACCCGAGTGACGGTGGAAATCGAGGGGAACGCGGCAGTCCCGCTCTGCTTCCTTGGAAGAACCCGTGTTCCCACAGGCAGCCGCCCTTTCCTTCTCTCGCTCCTTCCCCCGGCTCTCTCAGCGCAGGTCGTTCCGACGCGACGTTCCGAATAAATTCAAGACAGCAGCCCCGAGTGACCCTGGCTCCCCAGCCTGTGGGGATAGCGCAGGGCAGGAGGTGAGGGAAGGTCGGAAGAGCGAAAGAGTGAGCCTGAGACGGTTCTCCCCACACACACCCACCACCGGGCCTCTTCTTCGCAGCCTCTCAGCCCTGGTTACGACTGAGGATGTCAAAGAATTGAGGCGAGGTTTACCCCACTATTGACCTCCAGGACTCGAGGTTCATTGCTGGTGTGGCTCTTAGAAGTCTCCGAGTTTGGGGTTAGGGAACTACCGAGGGTGGCAGCCTGACCTCCGCACGCTACACGCCCCCTGGGGACTAGTGGCGGCAAGGTGGGGTGGCAGGAAATCTCCCGTGTTAGACGTTGCCGCTCCTAGTCTCGGGTACCCGGAGCCGCGCCCGAACTCCGCGACCCCAAGAGACCGAAGCCCCCAGAGGTGGGTGTCTCTCCGACACCGAGAAGGCAGACGCGCACTCCAGGCCTGCGCGCCCCTCTCGGCGCGCTGGGCGCACCTGCGCACTTTACTCTCACTATTCATTTTCCTGACACAGACCGCCTCTTTCCCCTTTTTCATTCTTTTTCTTAGAGCCCCCACCCCACCCCTCATCCCAGGAGGCCGCTCCTCTTTTCCCCTCCTCCAGTTCCCTCTCGGTCTCTTCCTTCCTCTTCATCTCTCTCTCCCTCTCCTTTTTCCCTTCAAGTCGCACCAGCCTTGTAATCAGCAACAAAAGCTGACATAAATCACGGGCGGATTGACAAGAGCTGACAAATAACTGATTGATTGCGGTCGAGGAACATTGACAATTGATGGAGGGGTGGAGATGCCCAAAGAACGAGGGGAGGGAGGAAAAGAGGGTGGAAGAGGAGAGTAAGAATGGGGGGTTGGGGGGGGAGACTGAGTGTGAAACAGAGGAAACATGTGACCGCCGCTGCTGCCCCAATCTACGCGTCCCCGGGCGTCACGTGGCCGGGAAGGGCGGAGAGCCCAGCGCGCCTCGCGCTGTGGAGCTGCTGCTGCGACTGCCCATCTAGTTTCTGGTTTCTCCGCCGCGGAATCTGAGGAAATCAGAGCGGGCGGGCGGGCTTCCTCCAGCTCCGGCTCCCCACCTTGCCTTACCCTGGTGGCCGCGCTGCGCTGCGCCGGGCGGGATCTCGATTACTGAGGAAGAAAAAACACTGGGTGTGTGGATTCCCTGTGCCCCTCGAGTTGACAGTCCGGCTGGTGTCCACACTCTCACCGGTGCTCCTTCTGGATACCCCCGCAGTCTGTTCCTCACGCGCACCCCCCTCCAAAAGAAGGTTTCAGTTTATTTTAGAGGTGGGGAAAGGAAGAACGACGAGGAGGAAAAAAGAGGGAGGCGGCGGATGGCAAACGTAGAATAGATGTCCATCTCGTCCTCGGAGCGAAATCGAGGGAGGGGACACACAGGGGGGCGGCAAGGAGGGAGCTGCCCATTAAAACCAGCTCTGAGAGTCCTGGCGGCGGCGGCGGCGGCGCGGGACGCGTCACATCCCCTTGACCCTCCAATCACCTCGGGCTCCCATTTGATTGGAAGGCGGCAAAGGCTTTAATCTCCCCCTCTGTGCAGCTGCTTTTGAAGTGAGTTTCCTCGCCAGAGCCCCGGCTGGACACGCAGCGGCTCACATCGCAGAGCGTAGCGCCGGCGCGGGGCCGCGAGAGCGCAGCGCAGCGGAGCAGCCCGAGGCGGACACCGGGAGCCGCCCGGCACTCCGGCAGTCCAGCCGGCTCCCCCAGCCCGGCCACGGCTCCGCTGCGGGCCACCCAGGATTACTCAAGTCTGGCTCCAGGCGCCGAGAAGGCGCGCTGGGCGCCCGCGGCCGCCGAGCCAGCTCCTCCTCCTCCTGCTGCTCCTGCTACCCGGGCGAGCGCGCAGCCCCGAGCCCGCCCCGCGCCTCCCGGAGCCCTCCCCCCCGCTGCTCCCATGCGCGCGGGTGGGTCATGAGCACAGCGCCCTCGCTTTCTGCCCTAAGAAGCAGTAAGCACAGCGGCGGCGGCGGCGGTGCAGACCCTGCCTGGACTAGCGCGCTCTCTGGAAATAGCTCCGGCCCCGGCCCAGGCTCGTCCCCGGCCGGCAGCACCAAGCCTTTTGTGCACGCCGTGCCCCCCTCTGACCCCCTGCGCCAGGCCAACCGCCTGCCAATCAAGGTGCTGAAGATGCTGACGGCACGGACCGGCCACATTTTGCACCCCGAGTACCTGCAGCCCCTGCCTTCCACGCCCGTCAGCCCTATCGAGGTAAGGACCCTCTCTCTGGATCGCGCTGGGACCACTACCCTGGCTGCCACCCTAAGGCTTTCTTTTTCTCGGGATCTGGGCGGGGGTGGGGGGGGGGCGTCGGAGTGATTCAGCTCCTGGATGGGGGACGAGGCTACTGCTTCCGTACCTTAAAACTAGGGCGGAAAAGGGGGAGGTGGTGGAATGGGGTGTGAATGCTAGGGAGCAAGACTGCCAATACTTGTTTCTCCTTTTGATATCAAAGCCCTAACCCGACCCAGGCCCCCTCACTCGGCACTGAAGGCAGGCAGAGGTCTGAAATACGGTTCCAAAGTCGCCGTCCTCCGGCTTGCCAGGAGCCAGTGTGTGCACACAGCCTCTGAGGCACCAGCCGTCCAAGCCCTTACTCTGAAGAATTAGGAAGTGTTTGTGGGGAGGGGGTACAGTTGTGGGTCTAAGAACCAAAACCCAAAACATTTTGCTTTTTAAAAATCCAATTAGCGTTCAGAGAGGGCAGGAAAGATGCTGCTGGGAGGGGTGGGGGGAAGGGGAATCTGCTGCCTTTCCCAAGGGCGAGAATGTTTGTGAGTGGGTGTTGAAGAGGGGGTGCCGCCTAGAATTGAGCCTTGGGGCTGGGAAGATCTTCATGGGCTGTTGCAGAGAGGCATTTGAACCCTAGAAGCCAGATTCTAAAGGGTTTCCACTTCTTTCTCTGTGTGACCCCCCCATCATCTGACCCCGCAGCTCGATGCCAAGAAGAGCCCGCTGGCGCTGTTGGCCCAAACATGTTCGCAGATCGGGAAGCCCGACCCCTCGCCCTCCTCCAAACTCTCCTCGGTCGCCTCCAACGGGGGCGGCGCGGGTGGTGCCGGCGGCGGCGCCGCAGGCGACAAGGAAGCCAAATCGGGCCCCCTCAAGCTGAGCGACATCGGCGTGGAGGACAAGTCGAGTTTCAAGCCGTACTCCAAACCCGGCTCGGATAAGAAGGAGCCGGGAGGTGGCGGTGGAGGCGGTGGTGGCGGCGGGGGCGGCGGCGGTGGGGGCGTTTCGGCGGAGAAGTCGGGATTCCGGGTACCGAGCGCCACCTGCCAGCCATTCACGCCCAGGACAGGCAGCCCGAGCTCCAGCGCCTCGGCCTGCTCCCCAGGAGGTATGCTGCCCTCGGCCGGGGGTGCCCCGGAGGGCAAGGACGACAAAAAAGACACCGACGTGGGCGGCGGCGGCAAGGGCGCCGGGGGCACCTCGGCCGAAGGGGGACCCACGGGGCTGGCGCACGGCCGGATTAGCTGCGGCGGCGGGATTAATGTGGACGTGAACCAGCACCCTGATGGGGGCCCGGGGGGCAAGGCTCTGGGCTCGGACTGCGGCGGTTCATCTGGCTCGAGCTCTGGCTCCGGCCCCAGCGCGCCCACCTCCTCCTCGGTGCTGGGCTCTGGGTTGGTGGCGCCCGTCTCGCCCTACAAGCCAGGCCAGACAGTGTTTCCTTTGCCTCCCGCGGGCATGACCTACCCAGGCAGCCTGGCCGGGGCCTACGCCGGCTACCCGCCCCAGTTCCTGCCACATGGCGTGGCACTCGACCCCACCAAGCCGGGCAGCCTGGTGGGGGCACAGCTGGCGGCAGCCGCCGCTGGGTCTCTGGGCTGCAGTAAGCCGGCCGGCTCCAGCCCCTTGGCCGGGGCGTCTCCGCCGTCGGTGATGACAGCCAGTTTGTGCCGGGACCCGTACTGCCTCAGCTACCACTGCGCCAGCCACCTGGCAGGGGCGGCGGCAGCCAGCGCTTCGTGCGCACACGATCCGGCTGCTGCGGCCGCTGCGCTAAAGTCTGGATACCCGCTGGTGTACCCCACGCATCCGCTGCATGGTGTGCACTCCTCACTAACGGCTGCCGCGGCTGCTGGCGCCACACCGCCCTCCCTGGCTGGCCACCCCCTCTACCCCTACGGCTTTATGCTCCCTAACGACCCGCTCCCCCACATCTGCAACTGGGTGTCGGCCAACGGGCCGTGCGACAAGCGCTTCGCCACGTCCGAAGAGCTGCTGAGCCACTTGCGGACCCATACGGCCTTTCCTGGGACAGACAAACTGCTGTCGGGCTACCCCAGCTCGTCGTCTCTGGCCAGCGCCGCCGCGGCCGCCATGGCTTGCCACATGCACATCCCCACCTCCGGCGCGCCGGGCAGCCCTGGGACGCTGGCGCTGCGCAGCCCCCACCACGCGCTGGGACTCAGTAGCCGCTACCACCCCTACTCCAAGAGCCCGCTTCCCACGCCCGGTGCCCCTGTGCCGGTGCCTGCCGCCACCGGACCCTACTACTCCCCCTACGCCCTCTACGGACAGAGACTGACCACCGCCTCGGCTCTGGGGTATCAGTGAGGGCGGCCGGGAGGGCTAGCGAGGGAGAGGAAGGAGTTGAGGGAAGGGAGGAGCCCAGGGAGGGGCGGGATCATGGCCCAGGCTGCTGACACCCGCGCGTGGGGAGGACTCGGGCCACGAAAGGAAATAAATATATACCGTATCTATCTACCCGACAGCAGCAACCGAGACCCGGTGGGACTCCCTTTCTCCCCTCCTCTCACCTCCCCACCCAAACTTTATAAAAGTTGAAAAAATATCATTTGACTTTTTATAGAAAAGGGAGGAAAAAATAATTGAGAAAGTGTTCATCTGAGGACTGCATCGGTGGACACTGGTATTTATTTATGTTAGCTCCAAGCGGACCCGTGGTTCAAAAGTGCATTATTTAGTTTGAGCTCTGTAGGTAAAAAGGAGGAGGGAAACAATTTAAATCTTGAGGGTAAAAATGTGGAAAACAAACCCTCCCATCCCTTGTAGATTATAAATAAAAGCAAAACCGCCACAGAACTAGAGGTCTTCTCTTTAATGTTACTTTAAAATTGCTATGATTGTATTGTACGTTATTTAATGTCTGATTGAAACACAAATTTACATGCATGTTTGTTACAAAAAATGAAAAAGTCACAATTTGTCAGCTCTGATTTCAAATTGCAATTATTTTTAAGGTGTATACCATCGAAGAGAATGGGTATTTTTTTGTATGTATTCTGGAAGAAAACAAAAAAAAAAAAAGGAAAAAATTCTATTCCAAAACCTCATTTGCCTTATTTTGTTCTTTAAAAGGAACACTTAACTATTTTTAATTTTTAAGTCCACCCGCTGAGAAGGGGACAAGGTTTACGTCATGTACTAAAATAATAGACAATGTATCGCTTTAAAGATTAAAATTCCGTATATTTGATGTATTAAAAGGTTTTACTTCTTCTTCTTATCTTTTTTATTTCTTGGTTAAAGAGAGCATGGCAGTTTCGGCCGCAGTGGGTTCCGGGGCCTCACTGCTGCTCCTTCCCGGGACCGTGGCCGAATTTCCGATCGCTTTGTTGTGATTTTCTGGGAGGCAAAGGCGTCGGAAGGGGCGGCCAGCCGCGAAGTTGGCCTTAGGGAACATATTTTTAAAGGAAATTTCACCATTTGGAAAGATAGTGTCCTCCGTTATCTATCATTTCGTTTTTGTTTCAATTTTGTCTTGGCAGCCGGCTTGTTAAAAGTGAAAGGGGGCTGGGGGGTAAGAGGCTTTTTGTTAAATTTCCTCCTCAGCTTTTGGGGCGTTTGGGTTTCGTTTTGTGCAGAAAGCCAAGCAGGCTGGGACTCGCCGGCTGGGCCAAGGCCCGGGCCTTGGGGACGTGAGGCAGCGCGCTGCCCCTGCGTTGGCTTCCAAGCCTCCCCTGCCCGTGGCTGGCAAGCCGACTAGACTGGGAGGCGGGGGGGACGCTCAGGGAACCTGTGTCGCGGGTCTGGGTAGAGTGCGCCGGGACCCTCTGGTTCCTCGGGGAGAGTCAATCCTGTTTTCTTCTTCTGGCTCCTCAGGGTCTTCAGAACGCCACCCCTACCCTCGCCCCCACTCCCGCCCCCACCCACGGCTCCTTCCGCCCTCCGGAGTCTGGACCCGGGCAGGCTGGCGCCGCTGCTGCTTTTCCCGGTCCGGGTGGCTCCGCTGCTGGCGCTCTATTCCAGTCCGCGCCGCAGGAGAGCGCGCCCGGCGAGGGACCCGGAAAGCCCCGCCAAGTGCGGCCCCGCGAGCGTCCTGGCGCCCGGGCCTGGCCTCTCTGGGGCGACCAGGTGGGCACCTAGGGCTCCGATCGGCAGAAGCTCGGCGGGAGTCTGGGTCCCGGCGCGGCTCCCTGTGGCGTGCGCCGCTCACTTCTCCCCAACTTGGGCGGCAGGACGGAGCTACCCGAAGTGCCGAAGCTTCCTCTGCCGAAGGAAGCAGGCAGAGAAGAGTCCCAGTCGCTTTTGGGGGGAGGGGGCCCGAGACCCAGCGCCCCCTCCCAGACGCTCCAGGCCTGGGAGCGAGCCCTGGTCTTACGGCTGGTTGGGGACTCTGAGCCCAGAGCGCCCTTTCCCGGAATCCGGGGACCGTGGAGTCGCAGCGCTGAGAGCGCACCCCAGATCCACTCCCTGGGGTCAGGCTGTTCTGGATTCTCCGAGTGTCGGGATCCCCTCAGCGCTCAGGTGCCCCCGTTGCCTCTGGGGACTCTTGGCCGTGCAGAGTCCGTCTTTGGCCTCCGGCCTGCGTCGGACAGCCCGCAGCCCCTGCCGCCATTTGTACCCGGGTTGGTGACTTTGAGATTTTCCACCTTCCTCTCAGCGCCAGCCTCACGGCTGCAGGGCCTTTACCCGGGTTGCACGCAAAG